CTGTGAGGCGAGCTCGGTCTCCGCTCACCTCCCAGTCGGACAGGGCACTGCGCTTACAGCTAGCTCTCATGCACGTGGCCGCCCTCCGGGAGGCGGCCGGCTGGGGAAGTGGGTGGCCTTCGGAACACTTACCCGGTCTTAGGAGGCGACTTACGGGGTACTCAGCCTCAGTGTTCTCTTCTAGTAACTCCATTTCCCCCCTTGCGGGTGGTATTACTTTTCCTTAAAGTTATTTCTCGCTTTTGAGTATATTTATTCCAGTGGTTAGGATTCCCTCATTCTGCGTTAGTTACTGTCAGTCGGAGATCCTGAAGCTTGTTATGCGGTCCTTTGAAGAGTTCATGTCCTTGGGATATTGACTTTGACTTCTGTGATCAAGTCTTTAACTTTTAAGGGATGATGAAAACTAGACTGGATACAATGAATTTTTCTTTGCATTCAAATTTGTAATATGTCAGGCGTGCACGAAGCTAATATGTTAGGTTTGGGATTGCTAAATTAGAATGTGACTCCTTTCTGAAGTGTTGGGAGTTTAGAGAGAAACTAATTCATGTAAGTCCATGGTTTGTGTTCAGAAGACGGTGAACACAAGTTGTTGGGCCTAACTTCCATTCCTTAAGCTAGATCGAATACTGTGGAGACAAGGATGGTCTTTGACTTATTCCTGTTTTGATTGTGTCTACTTTCCTAACCCTTAGCTTAGTACTCTAGCAGGTAGTAGGTGATAAATAACCACATACGGTGGTGGCAAGCACTAGGAAAGGAGTTAGCTTTGAGGGATAAAAAACGAATTTAAATTCTAGCTCTGCAGTTAACTCATGGCTTCATTTTGAGCTCTTTTCTCATCCGTAAATTAAGAGGAAGAAGATGTGTTTTACTTTTTGTGAAGAATAAGATGGACTTCTAGAAGATTTTCAGTAAATGTTAATGCTCTCACTCTCCTTCAGTTGGAAAGAAATATGGTAGTTATCTATGATCTGAGCCATAATGTGAAAAATTGTATGGAAGTGCTTAAGATAGAGGTTGCTTTTACTCTAGAACAGCGAGGTCGTGAAGGATTTAGCCCTTGAGCTGGATCTCAAAGTGAAGGCACAATTTCAATATTCAGTATTCAAAAATGAATGATCAAAGGCAGTGAAATGGAGGGAAAATGCTGAAAATCAAAAAAAAAAAAAAGCCAAATTAACTGAAAGGTAGGGTTGATTTGGGGCATAGTGAGGTAAAAAATATATTTTATAATCTAGTGTTATAGCGATGTCATTTTGGAGTTTGATTAGAACATCCAGGGAGGTTAAGGATGTGATAGAACCAGTGCTTTAAAAAGATTAAGCTGTTGCTATAGTTCCCCTGTATCTATTGGAGAAACCCCTGTCTGGAAAGGCTAGCATTTAGGAGATTTAAGGTGATAAGGATCTGTTGAGAATATGACGCTCAGGACACTGAAGCAATCTGCTTAAGGTCACACAGTAGTGGCTCTACTTACAATACACACATTTTTTGGTGTGTTTTTCAATACTTCTAAGTTAATTCTCTGTAACCTAAGGGATGTCTTTGTAATAAAAGTGTTAAACTCAGGAAAAAAAAAGATGATAAGGATCTGAATGAGGGTACTGTGAAAGGGAAGGGATTAAGAGTTGTTGCAAGGAAAAATTGACAGCATTTAGAAGTGCTTATGATATAGGATAATAGGGCAAATGGATAATTTAAAGCTTGGGGGATGGAAATGATGGTGGCATCATCAGAAAAATAAACAAGAAATTTACTGTATTTAAGGTTTAGTATCCCTAGAGTTGAACTTGAGGTATTAAGTCAAATACTTGGATTATTAGGAGTGGGGAGAGTTCCTTACCTTTCCATAGATTGGACGATTGAAGCTATGGAATGATTATGAGAACTCTGTCCTGGAGAGAACAAAACTAAAAAGAGGGAATCTTTAGAGTCAGGAGGAGGAATTGGAGAGATGGAAGAAGAAAAACCAAAAATGAAGAAAGTCAGAGAAAGCGTTTCTGGGAGGCAGCCGTGGTCGGTGAATACCACTGAGAGATTGTCAGGATTGTTCGGTCTGCTACCTGGAAGCTTTTTATGAATGTTATTGTGTCTCTCTACTTGCCATATGTAACTTTTTTTGTTGTTTTTTTAGGAGTTAACTTTTCCATTGGCTGTATTATTTTATTAGAACCAAGAGCTACCTTTAGCTTGCTTCTTTAGATAGAGGATCTAAATTTTGTCTGTTAGATAAAACAGGGACTTTTAAGTTTCCTTTTTTTGCCTCATCACATGATGCCATGATGCTTTGCCACTTCTGTCTTATATGACAGATATGTTGTGGTTCCCTAAGGATTTCATGCTGTTCTTGCCTCCATGTCTTCACTGATTTGCTTGCTTGTTGACTGTCTTCTCACATAAGAACAGTGCCTGACTCTTGGTAGGAACCTAGTAAATATTAAGTTAATACTAAAGTTCTCTTGTGAAAGAAATATTGACTAGAGTTCATTCTGCTTTCAGCAGTGGAAAGATTCTGTAGTGAAACATCTGTCTGAATTACACACATGGGAGAGAGGCAGAATTAAGCATGTAGTATGGATACATTAGAGGATAGTACAGTACTTAAAAACTGGATACTTTTAAAACTATCCTTGAAAAAACAAACAAGGTACGTTCAGTGTGAGATTTAAAAATCCTCACATTTTCTTTTTCTTTAGGGCAAGTGGAAAAATAAGGAACGGATTCTTATCTTTTCTTCTAGAGGAATAAATTTCAGAACAAGACATTTAATGCAAGACTTGAGAATGTTGATGCCTCATTCTAAAGCAGGTGCCTTTATATCCTACATTTTAAAAGTTCTTATATGTTTATGTATTTTTATTTTCAATCATTGTTCAACCTTGTCATTTGTTCAGTTTTATTAGGTAAAGAACTACGTCGCCTCAGAAGTTCATCTTTTCAATAACAGGATTTTTCCAATGAACATTTTGTTAGAAATTCTTTGCAAAATTCGTTAAACATTCCCTTCACTTTCTTAGATATCCTGCTATTAATTATCAAAACATTTTTCGAGGATCCTTCATTGTAATGCTCTCAGAGGTTACAAGCTGGTTTGTCCTTCTAAATAATTCAGGACTGCCATGTATTGCTATCTGCATTTTTTTTCTAACTGTTCTTGGGATTCCTGGGTGGCCCAGTTGGTTAAGCCAACTCTCTTAAGCCAACAATCTGGCTCTTGGTTTTGGCTGTTGGATCGAGTCCCATGTGCAACTCTGCACTGACAGAGCGGAGCCTGCTTACAATTCTCTCTCTCCCCCTATCTTTCTCTGCGCCACCCCTGCCCACTCTTTCTCTCTCTCTCTCTCTCAAAATAAATAAATAAACTTAAAAAAAAAAACTGTTCTTATTAAAAAGTTAATGGACTGGAGTAGGATTTGAAGCACCTTTAATTTGGGGCTCAGCCTACTTCTAAATGCCAAGATACTCTTTTTGGCAATGATGTATCCTGCAGTCAAGTGAAGTTTTAAGCTTAGAAGTGTGGCAGTACCAGGGTGCCTGGGTGGCTCAGTCGGTTAAGCGTCCGACTTCGGCTCAGGTCATGATCTCACCGTTTGTGTTCGAGCCCCGCGTCGGGCTCTGTGCTGACCGCTTGCTCAGAGCCTGGAGCCTGCTTAGGATTCTGCGTCTCCCTGTCTCTCTGCCCCCTCCCCGACTTGTGCTCTGTCTCTCTCTCTCAAAAATAAATGTAAAAAAAAAGGTGTGACAGTACCACCATACAGCCGCTCTTGTGTCTGTGTCGGAGGGAGCTTTTGGCTCTAATTCTAGGTGATAGCTTTGTTCCTTCGACGACGGTTTCTCAAACTGAGAACAGCTATTACTGCTGTATACTGCTTTGTATCTCTAAAACTAATAAGAGATTGATTTATATATTTTTTTCTGTGAT